TAAATGGTCAATTTGATGCTCTCTCTACCAACCAAAATATGAATTTAGAAAGATCTATGTAAATGTTAAAAACATAGAAAAGAAACTTTTACTAAAACAAAAATGCACATCATTCTAGAACAATTTTGAATGTAAGCACTTTAACTCAAAGACTTGAGTTCTTCTTAAACAGAATGAAGCATTTCTTGGCATAATTTACTTAGCACTTTAAGATAATAAAGTAGTGATATGAAGTCACAACACCAGTTTTACAAGGAGGGAGTTCCTTTCATTTTCATAAAAGTTGTGCCCTTATTAATTCTTCATAATATTAGTCCATTGATACCAACTAATTATGCAATGATCTCATTTACAACAAGATAAAATACAAGACTCAAATTAAACAGGCTGATAATTCATTCATAGAACCTAAGATATTGAATTACCCCCCATCTTTAAAGGCCTCATATTCTCACTATTTTTGTTGTAATGGGGCTTAGTAGCAAGAACAAAGACAGAATACAAGACAAAACTTGTTGTCTTCACTATTTTTTTATGCCTAAGAACAAAGACAGAATACAAGACAAAACTTATTACCTTCATTATTTTTTTATGTCTGGCTATTACATGTATAGATCACCACCATTGATATCTATTTAAATTCTCTTTTTCATGTTATCCTCAATGGTTTTAGTTCCTTAACCATGGGTTGAACTTGGAATTTCTACCAAACCCATTTAATTTTGTTAATACATAAGGGAATGTTATTTGATCTAATCAGTATTATACAAAATAGAAAAAAAAGAATGAGATAATGTTATAAGTTATAACAAGAAGTTTATGAAAACTAACCTGATTGATGTCAAAACAGAGATGAGAGACCACATAAGAAGGAAAGAGGTAGATCACAGAAAAAGAAAAAAGGCAAACCATAGACGAAGTAAAGAAAAAATAGGTGTTTTGAGAAAAAGAGAGAGTGAAATTGTGAAACAGTGGAATCATATGCTGGTGTTAAGGTTGAGAGTCTTAAGATGTAAATGCTAATTATATATTTCTTTCAAACTCAGTAAGTTGGTCTGAGTTTGTCGATTTGACTGAGTTTGAGCGAGTTTGATTGATTTTACTTATTTTTTAGTTTTTAGTCTAATTTTATATGTTATATACATATTGACTCATAAAATCGTATAATTTTACGAGTCAACTCGGGATTTTGACAACCTTGGTCAAAATAAAACAAGGGAATGACTAAAAGATTTGAAAGGTATGACATCTTTTCAAAAATTGGATCAAGGTTAGAAGAAAATATACTTACTACAATTCTTAGGTATATGTATTTCATCTTTCTTTACCAATTTTTTTAATTAGGTGTGTAATTCTAAAATAAGATATATTAGGGTAGACCGTATCAAAGTGAGCTCTTTGAAAAAGAACAGATTCTAGATTATCTTTGCGAAGATCATCTTATAATCAATTATCATTATTTTGTTCTTTATATTTTACTTTTGCTTTTATAATTCTCAAACCTTGATGATGCTTATCTTATCATTGTAAAACCATAAAGAATAACTTTTCTTATTTAAAATCAATCAAACAACAAGAAGTGAAAATACAAAGTCAATAAAAAAGAAAAAAAAGGGTCATTTCAATAATTTCATGAACTAGCATTGCAAATACGCTCATTTAGTTGGTAATGTCTATGACAAACTAGCTATTACGAAATAGTTAGACCCATAACCTGTTACATGATGGTGAAGGTTATTACCATTAAGCGAAAGTTCTATTGACATATCAATCAATCAATTTGTGATGGAATAATAATGTAAAAAAACTAAGAAAAAAGAGAAATACAAGAACATATTCAAATAAACTAGAAAAAACAAGTTTTAAGAAATGCAATAATTTATATAAAAAGGTTTGGTCTCATTGAATTCTCTAAAAGCTTCTATGATAGCTAAATTCTCATTCCTATATTTTAAAAAGCTCTATTATATCAAACTTAAACGTTTCATAAAAGTTATTTAATAATGCTTTAAAGGCAAATCAAAGGTACTCTTTAAAGTATCAAATCACCAAACATTATTTTGCAATACATGTTTAAATTCATGTCTTTGCAAAATATAAATCTTGGTTTGATTTTACAAATAAATCAAGTCACCATATATCAAACTCAAGAGAAGAATAAGATTATTGTTTTTTTATGTGAATATTTTAAATAGAGATTGTATATAGTCATATATATTTTTAAAAAAACCAAATATTTTTACACGAGCATTGTTACACCCAACATTATGGCGACCTTTAAAAATTCATATTATAAAAATAACAGATATCTGGCATCTTATTATTTAGAGGGAAATGTCTAATTTAAAAAGTCATCACTTAGTATTATAGTCATTAGGAACCCTAATTGGTCAACAAATATTATATGACATATGACTAGTTATGCAAAATAAAAGATATTATCACCTCTTAAGCATCCTATATAAGGTAGGCTGCATTGTTGGTTTTGTTTTAAATTGCTAAATGTTTGTCTTGTTATGTTTTTTATGGTCTACTTATAATATTTTTAACTTTGGAGTCAGTGAATATTTAACTACAAATACTTTTAACTTGATATTGATAAATATTATGTGAAGAAAAGGTATGATATTCCTAAATTTGGCATTAATGAACATTGAGGTTGATATTTTTTACTTTGACATTAGTGAATAATTCTACCGGTAAATCCATTGATAATATTTAATATATAATCTGGCACTCGACCCTTTACTTCTTTCTTGCAAAAGTTTTCTCTACAACAAAACAACCAACAACCCCTCCAATCTCAATATAACTTAACCTCTCATAACCTTTCAATCTCAATATAACTTAACCTCTCATAACTTTTCCCGCCACTACAATATTTATCAACATTTGTGTTTCGATTGAAATTTGATTAAAGATTTTCCACCTGAAGTAAACAAATCTATCCTTTTTATAATTTAAACATGATTTTAAAATGTTGATTTTTATTGCATGGTATATGTATTTTGTTTAGGTGTTTACTTGTTTTTTTTTTTGTTTTTTTTTCAAACTTATTGTATGAATTTATAATTTGTACATATTATGGTTTGTTTTAGATTTTGTAAAATCATATTTGTTTTAAATTATTGAAACTTATGTCGAATTACTGACTTAGGTGTCTTATAATGAAATAAATAATAGCTTATTTAACGAGCCTGTTTTATATTTTGTCAATTTTATTTTCAAGTTGTAATTTCTGTAAATATATACAAATTTACATCTACATAAATAATTGATAATGAATTAAGAAAAGTATTAAAATAGGTTGAATAATCTTGAGTTAAACCAATATTTTTACAAATATATTTAATTAACATAGTTAATTAATACATATTGTTATCATTATTTTATATAGGTTCGATAAAAGTGATAGATGATCATTTTTGGATGTATTGAGATTTACCTCAAAAATTGCAGAGTTTGAATTATTGTAATGTGTTTCAAGGTTTTATTAATTATGCAATATCTAATCCGAAAAATATTAGTGGAAGTAGTATAAAATATTCATGCAAAATATGTAAAAATAAAAAGTTTTTCGATCTAGATGTTGTAACGATGTATCTTCTATAAAAAAGGTTCATAGAGTAATATTTGTATTGATATGCATACAAAGAATTATATATTCCTCACAAGACCATAGTAGAAAGATGATTGGGTCAATTTCTAGTGCTAGCAACGTGCATGGAGTTGTAGATGACAATAGTAATCCTTATAGAACTATCGTTATGGATACAATTGGAATGAATTAGGATCATGCCGGTCAATGTCCAATTGTAGAAGAAGAAGGTAATGTAAATGTGACCATGTCTTTTATCTTTTGTAAGATTCTGATGAATTATTATATGATAGTTGCACAAATTACAGTAAATCATGGGTCCTTACACAGTTATCCACCATTAAATCAAATCATAAATTGAGTAGGGCTAATTATGATAGAATTATCAAATATACGAAAAGTATTTTACTTAAAAAGAACAATTCTAAGTTGCTTGAGTTATTTTTTTTATTAAGTGTTTTTTTTTAATTTAGATCTTTAATATTTGGTTAATTTGAATTGGATTTCTAATTTTTATTTATTTATATTTCATGGTGCTATCATGGTTTCCTGTCCCATATCAAAAGTTTTGTAGTTTAAATATAGTTAACTCTAATCAATCTAATATATTAGTATTTTAATATATAATTTTTAAAAATACCATTTAATTTCTAACTTTCTAGTATTTTTTTTTAAAAGGTTTTAAAAAAAATTATCAACTCTGCGTGTAAAAAAACAAGTAGTTGTGGTACCAGGCAATGGGCCCAGGTTAATGGGCTTAATAATTTCTTTTTGAAGGTCACAATACAGCTCATTGGTGTATCGATTAGCAGCCGAATAGGGTCCATCAAGGCCTACAAGGGTTTAAATCTGGTCGGAAAGTTTTTATTTGCATGGCCCTCTAATAGGTGGCAGCACTATACAAACCTTTTATGAGCACTTTGCCTTTTCATGATTCACGAGCATCCAATTCAAAATGATAATTCAAGTTGCACATTCACATTAGCAGCTGTACTGAGTGGTTCTTTTTGTTTTTTAAAATATTTTTGAAAGATTTTAAATTTTATTTTATTTTAAATTATTTTTTTTATAATTTCAGATCGTTTTAATGCACTAATATTAAAAATAAATTTAAATAATAATAATATTATTTTAATATATATTCAAATAAAATTAAAAAATAATCAATACCTTAATACAAAACAAACCGGGTTTAAAGCATAATTTTTATCAGGATTCAATGGTCATTTAGTCTTAGCATACGTGACACTATTTAAGATGTAGTTCGCATTAATGACCTTGGCAAAAAATTGCTCCCATCCTAGTACGATTAGCTCCAATATAAAGCATCTGAATAAGTTTAAAATTAAGTGTTAATTTTTCCTTGAATTGGAGATTATTAATGTAGTTTCAATGTCTGGTTTAACCTTGATTTAAATTAGGGTAATAAAACTGGTTCTCATATATATAACATTTCGAATACACAGAACGTAAACACATTTTATGCACACATAGACGACAATTGGGCATGGATATAATCTCTTTTGAAGAAGCTAGCGGCACTAAAAGTGAACCTGGCTGATCAGGGAATCTCTACTCGATGAACACTAGCAGCCCACATGCTTAAGCAGGGATTTCAATGGTAGCTAGGCACCATAGATTCAAAAGAAGATTTCACAGCTCACAAGTCTATCTGTCCTGAATTATACTAGTGGCGAAAGGAATTTTGCCCTGAAATCCTTTTCTTTGGATCCAGCTCAACAAGTACGTAACTACATTTTTCAAAATGAAACATTTAAATACTGAGGAGTGTTATTTTAGAAGTTAGGTTTTAAATTTATTTTAAAGTTATCATAAATCTTAAAAAGTTACTAAAAATTTATATAATTATTAATTTTAAAATTTTTAAAATTAATCGAGATACATATAAACTATTCTGAATATCTATTTTAATAGAAAAAAAAACAAAAAAAAAAATTCAATACACACCACAATTATAATTTTGATAATTTATTTGAAAGTATGATAGATTTCTATTTAAAAATAAATAAAAAATTAATTCCAAGTAAGTTTTCCTATAATTTCAAATCGATTGCCGAGTTGCACGGCATGTTCCCAGTACCTGAAACGAATGAACATCGTTTCTCCTTTCCGAAAGCCTCATTCGGTCCAGAGCACAGAACACAAACCTTTCACCAAAAGAAGAAATACCTTGCCTTTCACGAAAGAAATGATTGCAACCCATCAAAGAGAACAAGCTGTATCCATCAAGTTAAACGGATTCTCATTCGAGAACACCCCATTCCCATAAAAAAGAGAGCCAGGGAGAGAGAAGAACCTTTATGCCTTATGTTTCCTTAGTTTTTAAAATAAATAAATAAAAAAACACGCAAACTTCTTTAGACGTTAATTTACACATAAGATTTCCACACAAGAACTTGCTGGTCTGACCAAACCTAAATGAACAACCAAACAAACAGCAATAAATACCCAAATAAAGCAATAAATCACAAGCTGAAGAAAAAGTCAATCCAGGCCCAAGCTGGTTTTCATAAATTTTTTAGTATCTCTAACCAAACAAAGAAAGCTGGCGTGGACACATGCATGTGAATCACTATCATATCAAACAAGTTGGGATGTTTGGTTAACTGTAGCTGGATTCCGATACATATCAGCTTGAACTTGAACTCTGCCGCACCGAACAAGCAACCACCTGTGCCCACAGCTTTAGCCTTGTCTTCACCGTCTGTGGATTGTCACCTGCGCACAAGAAACAAATTAATAATTGACAGTCAAATAAATTCAGTAATATATTTATAGAAAATTTAAATCCAGAATTTAAGGGAAAAAACACTTTAGTTTGCGTGTAAATACAACAAAAAACATGTCATGATTGTTCTTATAAGTCATCCTTATCTCGAGTTCATTTGTCGGAATATAGTTAAAGATTTGATTAGTCCATGATAATCATTGAAACGCTAAATAGCAAATTACCTGGACCAAAAATGTTGTGAGGGCTACCTAGGGGAGAGAGTGAGTCACAATCAGACGCCATGGACGAAGACGACGTATCAGTGAAAGGCTTGGAGACGGAATGGTCATGGTAGTTCTTGTTGACAGCATAATAAAGCTCCAAAGCAGGAAAAGTATCAGACAAACGTTGATCCATTTCTGGAGAGTCAAACCCAAAACCTAACTCAATACAACCTTTAAGCTCATCGAGATCTTCATCAGTAACGCTTTTGCATTTCTTTTTCTTATAGTTTCCTTTCCTCCTTAGCCACGCCTCGTCCCTGTAAATATCAGGTGACCATGAATGTTGTTTGTAAAGTGGAGACGGCCCTAGTAGTTGTTGTTGTTGCTGTTTTCGTATGGGTGGCTGATATTCTACTTGTTCTTCTTGAGGTGGTGACGGCGGGCGGGGGTAGGGAAGGGACATGGGGACAGCCCCAGAAACTGGATGAAGCGGCGGAGGTCGGAGGACCTCGCCGGCCGTTGGTTTAAAGAGCCCTTTGGCTATTGGAATTTCTTTTAGAGGGGGTAATGGGAAGTTTGGTGGGTTATATCGGGAAGCGGTGGTGGTGGGGTCTAGTGGGGACTTGGTTTTGGCTGGATTCATTGTGAGTTGCCTTTTGCTTTCTTCTTTTTTTTAAAAAAAAAAAAAGTTTTCATTTTGATTTATTTTGAAGTTTTCAATTTTAATCGCTGTTTTGGTTTCTTAGAAGGTACAGCAAGAGACTTTAACTTCTGCTTGCTTCATGGGAAAATTGATCAGAGCGCGAGTAATAAAATTAGGTTTTAATTTTCATTTTCTAAGGGTCCCTTATATATATATAAAAAAAACTTCTATTGTTTTTGGTAATCTTAATAATAATTAAAAAATAATAAAGAAAATCAACTATAAGGGACACACTAGTAACATGTGGGACACATTGTCAACATTTAATTTATTTTATATTTGTTTATCTTAGCCCTTCTCGTAATAGGTTTTGTATATTATCAAAGTTGACTTGAGTCGTTTTTTCTGTTCTTAATTTTCTATGAGGTCATCCTAATCTCATGACTCGTGTTATGAGTTTAATGAGTTAACTAAAATTATTTTTTATGTTTTTTATTTTATTTTTAATTTTGTATTTTAATATTTGGTTTATTAGAAATTGATTTTTATAGTTTTTTTTATATTCTCTTTCTAGAAGTTTATTTTAGTCTTATGACTTAGATCACAGGTTAAGCAAGTTAACCTAGGTTAACTTGGATTATTTTTATATTATTTTTTAATTATTTTTTTAATTTCATCTTTCAACATTATATTAATTGTTAATTAAGTTTCATAATTTATTTTTATTTGCTTTTTACAGGGCTATTATTGTCCATTAACCAAAGTTGCAGATTTGACATATTAAACTTCGGTCGATCTAGTATATTATCATTTTAATATTTTTAAAAAATATTATCTTGATTTTTTTAGTCAAATTATATTTTTATTTAATATCCAAATTATCTATAAATCTATAAAGACAACTAGAATATACCAAATTAATCCTTACATAATTAAAAAATTTTTTTGAAGATTTTATGACCATCAAATAAAACTAAAACACGTATCATATGTTAATCTTATACGCTTGTTTTATTTTATTTTTTTTCCCACAAAAAACTCAATTCCGATTACTAGTTTAAATTCCTACCAAATATCATAACGTGAGGAAACTGTCTTTGTTCGGTGGTTAGCTAAACTAATTTGAAATTAGGCTCTCAACTTGCAATGCAAATGTTTTTTTTATAATTTTCATTACCATAAAAACTTTTCTTAGGAAAATATCATTATTTCCGTTAAAAATAAACTCTTTATTGATTCGTCAGTTTTGATAAAATATTTTTTTATTGATTTATTCATTAACTAATTAAAAAAATAAATTTAGAAAATATAATTAAAGGAACTATATATAAAGAAATTAGATAAGAATTAAGATCAATAAATTAAACTAAACTCCATGATTAACTCTTTATGAATCTTTTTTCAGAATACGTTCATGATCTCAAGTTTTGGAGCTAATCCATCAAGACAAGTAGTTCATGAGAACATATTCCAAAAAATTTAATTAGCAATCTAAATTGATACCTAATTAACTAAGTAAATTAAAAAAACGGTTAAATTCATAAAATGACGCGCTATATATGATTTCAACTCCTATATTGAGTGAATGAATACTATATTAGAAGTTTCAAGTTTAACCATTAATTCCAATATTGAGCTCCTAATTAATTACTAGATTAGTGTCAGTGTAATATTGTTACTTCTCTAAATCTCTAGGTAATTATTGTGATATATTTTTTATTTATGTGATCCACTAAAGAATTATACATGGTGAATTCATATAAACATCTTAACCAATTTCTTAAGATTAGATCAAATTTGTACTACATGCCATTGCTTAATATTCTTATAAAAATGTTTTAATAAACAAAATCAACATTGCAAGCTATATTTAATTAAATATATCAATAATCATTTATGTCATTAAATACAAAAAAAAAAAGTATTAATATATTTATTCAACTCATCTAGTTGCATGTCGGATAATTTTTTTTAATGTAAAAAAATTAATATATAGTTATTATTAATGTATTTTTTAACATATAATAAAAAATATAATCGTGAATCAAAAAATTAATACTTATGTATAATAAAATACAATAAAAATCATATATATTAATAAAAACATGTAAAATCTTAAATTAATTTTTATCGTAGTAGAAAAATAGGACACTGTTGTAATTCTATAATGAAATACTATTTTCTTAGTTTTTGTATAATAATTCTTCAAAAAAATTATCAAGAAAAAAAACTAAAAACAAATTACAAAAGAATATAGACAAGAATAAAAAGAATGATATAAATAGGCTAAGTATAAAGTGATAAATATTCAAAATGTAAAAAATAAAAAATTATATTTTTTTTCAAAATAAATCGAGTAAAGAAAAAATAGAGAAAGAAGAACTAAAAAAATATTACAATAAAATGAAGATAAAAAAAAGTGTATAAATAGGCTAAGTGTAAATAATAAAAATATCAAGTATAAAAAGAAAAAAAAATAAGAAAAACTTATTTAAAAAAAACCTGAAAACTATAATTCTGCCACCACTACAACTTTATACAGTGAAAAAATTGGTAAATTTTATAATTATGCTGAAAACAACATTTTATGTATATGAACAAAATAGGTCAGGGCGAAGTAAAATAGGAGAAACCTTCGATTGTTTGCCAGATACGATCGAGAAGCAAAAGGATTTTCGAGTACTTTCATCATAGAAACGGAGACATTCTTAAGGGACGACTTCTCTCAATTATGTTCCCACCCGACCATGACATCCCACATTAATAGTTTTTTTCTCTTCTTTTTAAGGTTGATTTTGTCGAAGATGGGATGGCGTGAAGTTCGGTTGTTAATTAAATAGTAATTATGCACTTGAAGACCAATAATTTTTCAGTAAAATAAGATTAATTATAATTATATAATGAAAGAATATTACCCTCCAAAATGTAGTTCTATATTTGTTGAGCCTACCATTGAATAAAAAAGAAAAAAACATACAAAAAAAGAAAGCATAAATAACAAATGAAAGAGGCAACATTATAAGCAAATAACCTATATAAGGAAAGCAAATGAAATATTGATTAAGAAGGGAGGACGCATCAATCCTTATCGATGAGTGATGCAGCTAGTTAGTACCCAATACTATAACTAGGTCGAAATGGTTGATTTAAATTAGTTTTTTTTTTTTTTTGTGGATTTGACTTATTTAGAGAAGGTTTGGTTATTTGAGGTTTGCTTTTTTTTTAGGTTTGGTTATTTGAGGTTTGCTTTTTTTAAAAAAAAAAAAAAGAATAAAATATTTTAAAGAAATAAGCTTTTAACTTTAAAAATGGACAAAAATCTCTTAAAAAGGTTGAAAAACAAAAAAAAATAATTATAAGTTAAGAACGAGGTTGCATAAGCAACCCAATATTATGACATGTTAAAAAATAGAATATGATTTTAGAGGGTTGTCAAATGTCCTCAAAGAGGAAGCTACAAGCACTCATTCAAGGAAGGTCATGATTGAACCAAGTCTAACCTAGACAAGCTCCATCCCCAACCATTTCATGCTACATTTCCCATTCAAATCCAAGTATTCATAAGTGAGCCAAGTACTTTGTAATTCTCCAAGACTCTGTTATAATCCTTCTCGTCCCTTGTTTAGAACCTTTTCCTCCAATAAAGTTTCACTATTAAAAAGACTTAAAGAGGATGTTTTGATTGCTTAAAAAAATAAATTAATTGCTCCATAAAAAGAGGCAAAAATAGCTCTAAGAAAAGAGTTTTAATGCTCCTCGGAAGGAGTCCTTGAGTGCTTCATGAAATATTTTTCTTAAA